ACAGGTGTGAATCATGAAGATTTAGGATGAGAGAATTTTTGTTTGCTTGGCAAAGCAAAGACAGACATCTGTATAAGTGGCCTTATTCCTGCTAATATCGATGTAAAAACATGAATTTGTGTTGCGGCAGCATATTTGTGAACCTTCTGTATGTATTTGAGATACTGTGCTGTTCAGACCTGTAATCCACAGAGAACATCTTTGTCATTTGATTTAAAATCCTCTCCTTTTGTTTTGTTTTTTGTTTGTTTTGTTTCAGGGGAGAGGAGAACGAGCATATGACATCTACTCTCGCCTCCTGAGAGAGAGAATCATTTGTGTAATGGGTCCTGTAAGTGTCTTCTTGAAGATTTTTGGAAACATGTTTTCAGAGTGATTTATATTCAAGCTCTTTCTCTTCCCCGTCTGCTCAGATCGATGACTCCATAGCCAGTCTGGTTATAGCCCAGCTGCTCTTCCTACAGTCAGAAAGCAACAACAAGCCCATCCACATGTACATCAACAGTCCTGGTATGACATAATCAAAACGAAGAGTTCCAATCTGAGTATTTCGCTGTGAGGTTTATTGATAAACTTTATGAAAAGAAGGATGAAGGAATGAGACATTTCACTGTCATGAAAATGAAACGGCAAAGAACTTGTTAGAGCACTACTTTTTCATTTCTGATCCACGGAGGAAGGCTGAGCTGCGTCAGTGTTACAGTAAACCACTGCTGACTGCGAGAGTACTCACACTAACTATCAATATTTTGTCGTATATTTGTGTCATTGTGCTAAGGCTCACTCAGCACCTACAAGAATTTGTATTTTGATTACAATTCTTTTGCCAAAAAGTAGTGCTTTTAAAACCTTTAAAATTAACTATAATTTTTTATTGCTTATTCAAAATATTGATGTTTTTAATTGCAGTATTTATAAAGTAACAGTTTTTTGATTTGTAGTAACAGAAGCAAAACCAGCTGGTTCGCTGGGACTTTCACAGGCTGCTGTCATTTTGTTTGTGACTGAAGCCTGTCGGTGTTTGTGGCCATGCTTCAAGCTTTGGTCATTGCATGTATGCTTATGGTACAGTTTGTATTAAGTGCTGTAACACTGTTTGTGGGTGTGATGGTTGCACTAGCGTTGCACTGAAGTTAAAGTGGACCTGCTATATTCATTGTCAGCTCCATGTTTTACTTTTGGACTCTGTTAGAGTAGCTTTGCATGATTCACAATACAAAGTAATCTTGATTTATCTTATACTGGGCTTTGGTGCAGCCAGTTTGTCCATCAACAGTCAAAGAAGCAGTTCTAGCCCCGCCCCTTTAAGCCACCTTTCTTTTGATTGGCTGCCAAATAAAAAGTTTGAACAGCAGATGGGCAGAGCTTCCTTTTAACCCCTCTCTTTGACAGCATGCATTCACGGTAATGGAGCTCAAAGGGATTACTATACATAAGGTGGCCTGATTTTTTTTTTTTTTAAATTTAAAATTTTTTTATTTATTTGTCTTTTTTAATGTTATCCGTTTTTGAAACGAGCATAAATTGCTTTTATTGTGATGAAACTTGAGGAAAAGCACAATACGCCCACTTCAGTATATTCCAAATATGGACATATAAGAGCAGCAGCAGATGATCTTGTGTTGTTGGTATCACACAGTCCAAATACTTCATGATCTGAATCTCACAGATGAAATTTTATGCCTGACATAATTAACGTCTCTGTTGAATGCAGTGTATTTAAGTAAATGAGTAAATTCATGCAAAGACCGCTCTCATTCTGTCTCTTTTTAAGGTGGTGTGGTGACAGCAGGACTGGCCATTTATGACACCATGCAGTACATTCTGAATCCCATCTCCACCTGGTGTGTTGGCCAAGCGGCAAGCATGGGCAGCTTGCTCCTGGCAGCAGGAACGACAGGCATGAGGCATTCACTGCCCAATGCCCGCATCATGGTTCACCAGCCTTCAGGAGGGGCCAGAGTAAGTTAGTCTCTCTGTGAGTACTGGTCAGTTGGTGTAAAGAAGGGAATAACATTCAGTGTGCTGTGTGTCCAGGGTCAGGCCACTGACATTGCTATCCAGGCTGAAGAGATCCTGAAGCTGAAAAGACAGATCAACAACATCTACGCCAAACACACGGGCCAGTTACTGGAGACCATTGGTATGTTTGTGCAGCTCATTACCACAACACAGTACAAACTTAAAAGTAGGACAAAAGCAGCACAATGATTTCCCCCCTTTGCATGTTTCCTGGTGACAAAGAAGGCTAATCCAGGCCTGGAGTGCACGTCTCAAGTTCGTGGCAATGTGTGACATGCAAATAACCAACCGTATATTATATATGGACGAGGGTGGCCATAATGTTTTATTCTGAAGAGTGTAGGACTTGCAGGTGTGATGAACATTAATATTTGGAATTCACAGAGGTGTTAGACATCATCTCAAATAGGGATGGGTATTGATAAGATTTTCACGATTCCGATTCCATTTTCGATTCTGTTTAACGATTCGATTCTCTTATCGATTCTTTTAAAAAAGGAGAACACGAAGGTCGATTAGCTCAGAACTTTGTTTTATATCTTCTCTTTGAACAAAATAGAAATTTAGGAGTACAAGGCCTTACAAACCCAACAGTGAGATCTTAAGAGATCCAGCCTACAGCTCTTCAATGGGGTGTCACAGGGTCCCCAGGAAAAAAAATTGTAAATGTAAAATAATAAAATAAATATTCTTCTGTAGCAATAACAAAGTATAACATAAATTATTCTGTAGCAATTACACAAGAATATCCAGTAATGTCCCTGCCTACAATTAAACACATTCACTTACCGAAAATTGGGGCATCTGCTGTGGCAAATGGGTGCAAGCCTTTAACCACAAACTTAGTCACTGCTCGGTGACATTCGTCTATCCTGGCCTGAAAGGAGACGCTACTACCGGCAGACTGGAGCGAGAACTGCCAGCATCTGAGCCAGACTCTGTCTGTCTCTCTCATCATGGTCACCTAAATGCACAGTAATAGCAGGTTTTGTAATAAGGCGGATCGCGCTAACATAATATGCACTGTTAGTTGATTATTTACCCGCCGCATTAACGGGAGAAGATGTGCAAACGTTACCGCTGCTGCTGGGTTGAGATTCACGAGTCCGGAGCGGAATTAAAATCACGACATTCATTTAAGGTCATCGTGTGTTTTATGAGCAAATGCTTTTGCATATTCGTAGTGTTTCCTCCCTTAAATGAAATATCTACTTTGCAAGTATTGCAAGTTGCCCTGTTGTCATCCGTTCTCATAAAGTATAACCAAACTTTTGAGCGTTTGAGCCGCCATGTTTCCTGCCAGGTAAATGACGCTCCACAACGTGGTGACATCATTCGGGGCGACTGGAATCGATAAGGGAATCGTTTGCAAAAATGGCAAACAAATTCCAAGGAATTGAAACAGTGGGAACCGGTTCTCAACAAGAACCAGTTTTCGATACCCATCCCTAATCTCAAAGAAACCGATTTTCATGTGTATAAGGAGAGGAGGAAAGTTAGTTTAAAACATTTAAACTATAAAACGCTCATTTCTGTCCGACTTACAGAAAGTGTGATGGAAAGGGATCGCTACATGAGTCCCATGGAAGCACAGGACTTTGGCCTCATCGACCGGGTCCTGGTCCACCCACCACAGGCAGGGCAGGATGAGCCAGAGCTGGTGCAGAAAGAGCCGGCGGCAGCAGAAGCAGCAGCAGCAAGCCCCTCGCCCCAGCCAGAGTCCACAGATCCTGAGAAGGCCTCCCCTGGGACAAATCCACCCTCCTCATACAAACCAGAGCCATGAACGCACCACAGCAGAGCTGTCTGCTAGCTGCAAGATCATCTTCAGGAGTCAAGAGAGCAAGATCCAGCCTCCCCGTGTTTCTCCTCCACTCAGTAGTAGCTTACACATGAGCAGGACCCAAGCCAGCCTCATGTACAGTCATCACAGTAACGTCTTTTTATGATGGTGCTGTTTCCTTTTTTCTTTTACGTAATTTCTATGAAAAATCTTCAAAGAAGTGATATTAAAATGTAGTTGATTTTTATAATTTATACCACAGGAAGGAAAGCAGTGTTTCATCTGGGTGGGCTTTGGTCCTTTCTCTATGGTGGCTGAGCTGTACTGTACATGAGCTTGTTTAGGGGGAAAGCTTAAGAGTACAGAGCCATCTGTTTCTCTCTCCTGGCTGATGTCCACTCGAGACCGGAGAGAACCTGATTTGATGACCTGATGCTTAATATTTGTAATAAATATGATCAGTTAAACATGACTCACAAAATGTGCTACTTCTTGATCCAGTAGTGTACTGTTAAGTTTTCAGCTGGAGGTTAAAGGCTGTGTTTGAAACTGTATTTTTATTTTTTATTAATTTTGTCACACCATGAAGCAAAGTTACATTATTCACATTACTTCACGAAAAACAGTGACAGAAACCATCTGGCTAAAACTGTACAGTTGTTAAAACGGCAACACTGTAACAAAATTACACATAACTATACAGCACAGGAACAGGAAGACGGACACCTTTGGCATTTAAGATGCGCGGCCATTTAACGCCACAGCATGTCGTCTATAACAACTGCAGATGTAAACTTACCACACAGTATCATCTTTTATTTCCATTAAGAAGTTAGAGAAAAATTAAAAGAAAAATTATTGTGTGCACAATAACACAACCAACCTCTAAATAAAAAAAATCTACATGAAATAGTACAAGTTTTATCAGTTGATAGGTCAAAAAGGCAATTTTAGGAAGCATATGAAAATAAAGTGTAACAATTACTCCTATTATCATAATTATGCTTAACATGTAACACCAAGTGTGTCATATTTGATAGATGAGCTTTTATGAGATGTCAGTGTACTTTTGGTTTCCCAACCAAAAAAGTAAATAAATAGGACAATGCATTTTTAAGCAATGAGTTGCACAAGTGTAGCAAAGATGAGACATTTCACCGTCATGAAAATGAAACCAGCATATGCTAACAAATGCTAATTAGTATTTGTTTTTAATGTCAGAAGATTGAATAAACAATAACAAAATATATAATTTCCTGGCAAATATAATATGGTTTCGACTTACAGGAGAAAGATACTCATGAGCATTATTGGTTTAAAGTTGCTAAAATTACTTGTATAGCTGCATTACTAACACAATAAGTTTGAAGTCGGCACCTTGTTAATCAAGCTAGCTAACGTTAGCTAAACGTTGCACCGCTAAACGTGATAGCTTCTGGCTACAAAAAGACCAACATGCTAACATTTTAGGCAGGCAATTATCAGGAGGCATCATTGTCTCAATCACTAGTTGTAAGTCTTACTGAAGATTATATTCACTTTAATAATGTTCCCTATTTGAAGAGTATTATTAGATATGCTCATTGTCAATGCAATGATATCAGTCAGTGTACAGTATTACAATTCTGATACATTTCTAACATACCGACACTCAGCAAACATCATTTTGAACAAAAATAAGTCACTTTTATAAAACATTCAGAAAAAGCTCCATCAAATAAACATAGCCAACACCGATTTGGTCACCGATTTCTCCCTTCATAATATAAAGATTATGAGAGAGAATTTTACTTTTCTTAAAAAGCTTTTTTCTTTTTTTTTTAAGGCTGTTCGACACAGTTTTTTAAAACATTAACCTGACATGTCAGATGTTATTCAAAACTGTTAGAAAGGCAGGAACTTTTCAAAAAGTACTTGGCACATGACTTCAAGAACCTCAGTCTGGTACAGTCTAACAGGCCAAGTTAAACCACAGGATTAATACAGCACAGTTTGTAGAGGTAGGACAACAAAGAGGGGGAAAAAGGCAACAGGAAGCATCTTTGATTACTCGCTTTTAAAGCTAGTAAGTCAGTAATGCAGTTAACATTTCAGCAGATAGTTTGTGCAGAAAATGAGCACTTTGGGAAAAGCTCTTTCAAAAGGAAATAATCATATGTTTATCATATGCATCATCACTCCTAAGACATGCCCGATACTGCCACAGGTATAATAATCCAGTGAGGTAAATAAAACATCGTCTTTGTTGGGTAACAAAATAAATTCAAAAGAGCTATTTCTTTTTCTGCTTCAACACTAAAATGATTTATTTGAATGCAACTTTATTCATTTTTTGAATGACACTTGACAACATGCAGCGCTCAGTCCAGATGGAGGATCTGTAAAAATAACAGAAATATTATGAGCATAACAGAGTCATGAACCTTAATAAGAAACTTGTCTATTTAGAGCCAATATTAACAAAAATGAGTTATTTAATAAAACAGCATAAAAGTAAGTAAGATGACATAATTTTTGTTATTTACATCCAACTACATCTTAGCAGCCCGGTGGATGCAGAAAATATAATCGAGGCTCGAGCGACTCCTTCATGGATAAGTCAAACCACAATGAATTTTAATGTTATTCTAAATAACTAAGACACTCAAAGCAACTTCTTAAACATCTATACTGTTATTAAGTAAGATACGAATGCCTTAACATCTAAATAAACTTAATTACTAAGGCTTATTACAAAATCCTTAATGTGAACCGTTACTCATCATCTCTCGCTCTCACTCACACTCTTCTTGCCGGTCATCACATGATTGAGCAGCTCTTGGGTGAGGTGGTCCAGCGCAGCCAGCTCAACTTTTCATCACTATACGGTGGGTAGCGCAGGGCGTTAAGTTTTTCCAAAGCCCAACCACGCAGCATGACTGCTCGCTGGTGACTGAACGCCTCAAAGCCCCAGTGACCATGGTAGTGACCAAATCCACTGTTTCCTGGATGGCAGAGTGAACACTGGTTACGCATATGACTGCATCTCTTACATCTCTTTCTCAGCAGGCCAGCCTGACACATACCTACACCTCCAAAGGGCAGGCCTGGCAGGGCCATGTGCACAATTCCATCATTAGAGCAGAATCCTCCACTGCTTGAATTTTCCAGCACCTTCTTAACCACCTTAAAGAAATAATGACAATATTAGCTAAAAGACTAAATGTTATAAATGTTACAGCAGAAAGTGGAGGCTGCAGAGTTCTGTGTTCTTACAGAGGATTCATCTGAGAAAACATAGAAGGCCAGAGGCTTCTCTTTTGTTTTGGTTAATTTGATGCTTTCCTCCAGAGACTCAATTGTGAGGATCGGCAGGATGGGGCCAAAGATCTCCTCCTCCATTAGAGCATCATCTTCAGTTACATCCACCACTACCGTTGGAGCTATGGAAAGATGAGGACAAAATATTCTTTCATATATGCATTTTTTTCAGTCAAGGAAATTCAGACTCAAGCTACTTTATAGAAAAGTGTGACAAAAAAAGGATACAAGGAATGAGGTGAGATGACCTGTAAAGGATGCAGTCAAAAGAAGAATAACATAATGATCTCACTGACAAAAATAATGAAGTGTGTTACCCATGTAACCTGGTTTCTGTTAGTAACTTGGGTACAAAAATACACATGAATCCATTTGTTTGGTTTTTGTTTGCGCTTTTCCCCCTTTCACTCAGATTTTTCTAACATTTTTATATGTAGTTAATGTTTGAGTCTTTACTAAGCTAACGACAATGCAGTTTAAAAATAATCTTGTTTTATTGTCCAACTCTGCTCTGATCTGCTGGTTGTAGAACGCCCTCTGGTGGACAAACTTTGCAAAATCAACATGCATAACTTGGTTGAAGGGTGTTTCTCTTGTCTCTTCTTTACTTTTTACATTCTCATTTAATCACTCATCACACCAATGAATCTCCAAATAGCTAATGTCAGCCAATATATCAGCCCCATCAATACACTGGTCACACTCTAATATAAAGACTGCTTTAAGAAAAAGTGAGACTATTTAAACACTAGTATTCACTGTGCCATCCAAGTCATTTAATTCAGGTGTTCCAATCATTTCATGGCAAGGTGGATAAAATCAAGCAGTTTTACTGCATTTGTGAAAGAATGGGTCGCTCTCATGAGCTCAGGGAATTGCAGTGTGTTACCGTGATAGGATGCCACCTTTGCAACAAGTCCACTCATGAAATTTCCTCACTATTAAAAATATTCCACAGTCAGCTGTTGCATTATAACCAAGTTAGAGCGATTAGGATCGACAGTAAGTCGGCCACAAAGTGGTAGGCCATATAAAATAACAACTGAGGTGCATAGTGCACAGAGGTCACCACGTTTCTGCAGAGCCAACCGTTACAGAGCCCCAAACTTCATGTGGTGTTCACCACCCTGCCACTGGACTCTAACACAGTGGAGATTTGTTCTCTGGAGAGACCAATCACACTTCTCTGTCGCTAGAATGGTACAGGTCTGATTGCACTGTGCCAAGTGTAAAGTTTGGTGGAGGGGGAATTATGGTGTAGTGTTTTTCAGAAGTTGGATTCAGTCCCTTAGTTCTAGTGAAAGGAACTCTTAACGTTTCAGCAGAGCAAGATATTTTGAACAATTTCACACTCCCAATTTTGTGGGAACAGTTTTGGGATGGCCCCTTCCTGTTACAACATCACTAACAGTGCATAAAGCAATTTCCATAAAGATATGGATGAGTCAGTTTGGTGTCTAAGAACTGCCAGAGTCCTGACCTCAACCCAAAAGAACACCTTTGAGAAGAATTATGTAGAGCAGAGACTGCGAGTCAGGCCTTCTCATGCAACATCAGTCTCTGACCTCACAAATGTGCTTCTGAGAGAATAGTCAAAAATTCCCAGAAACACACTGCTAAACTTGTGGAAGTTAGATCTGAAAAGGTTAGGCTGATGTCATTTTCAACCATCCATCCATTCGCGGAAGGCATTTTCAGCCATATGGATTGAAATTGGGATGTCACTCAAGTTCATATGCATGTGAAAGCAGACAAGCAAATAATTCTGGCAATATAGTACAGGTCTCAAAGCTGAAAGGCAATTTCTTTTTCTTTTTTAAAAGCGGTGCAAGGCCAACTCTGGGCTGGGAGAGCGACTTTTTCACAACAACAATTTTACATGTGAAACTGATGAATAAACTTTCCCTACATCAATGGTCAAGAAGACTGTTAATTTCCTCTTTTTGTTTTTCCTTGAAACATTAAGTAAAAGTGTGATCTAAACACAGATCAGCCACAACAATGAACAAAAACAAGGAAAAAGTAATGTTCTGTGGAGAAATCCTGGGTTCTGACATTGATGTTTATTTAGTTTGACTTGTACCACCTACCTAAACATTTTTGTAGACCCAACACACCTTGCCATGGTAATGGCACTCCCCAATGGCAGCAGTCTCCCCCAGTAGGACAATGTGTCCCATCACACCAGAGAAACTGTTCAAGACCGGTTCAACATGACAAAGAATTTAAGTGTTGACTTGGCCTCCTCACTTTCCAGATCCAAATCCAACTGTGCACCAATGGGAAAGACTGGAACAAGCCCGCTCCACAGGCCCTACCCTGCAACCGCCAGGACCCAAGGGACTGGCTACCAATGTCCCGATACCAGACAGAGATTACTTGTCCACGCCTCAACGGGTCAGAGCTGGTGGAAAGAGAGGACCTACACAATATTAGGCAGGTATTCTTAATGTTGTGGCCGACTGGTGTAACATTTTTTGCATTGTTTATTTAAAAGTAAATGTATACCAGCTAATATACGGTCTTATACCAAACACCAAATCCTCCTTAAAATACTTTTTAACCCACCTATGTACCTATCCTTCTCGTCGTGCTCTCCTCCCACAACGACCTTGCCCTTGGTCCTGTTGAGCAGTCCCATCAGACGAGTCCAGTGTTTAGGTGTTACAATGCGTGACATATCGGGGCTCTTCTGAATGTCACTGCCGTAGAAGTCCTCCAGGACCTGGCGCAACGCAGGCACAAGGGCATCACAAGTGGCTTTCGAGCACAGAACGTAATCCGGTGCCACACAGCTCTGGCCAGCATTGAAAAACTTGGACCACACCAAGCGGTGAGCAGCAGCAGTGGCATTCACCCGACCATATATTAAGCAGGGGCACTTGCCTCCCAGCTCCAAGGTCACTGGGGTCAAGTGGACTGCAGCAGCCTGGAGGACAACGCGTGCCACAGCCTGAGAACCTAACAAAGACGGGTGAAGACTCAGTTCCCAGAACAGAAAAGGATAATCTACATTTCAGTCTTACTAAGCCAACCAGGGAAAAGAGGAGAGAATTGTGTGTCACTTTACTATTGACATGCTGTATTAGACAGTTCATAATTAACTCATAATCATCTAAACCTCTAAACAGTACAGTGAAGCTTTGGCTATGTAAAATTCCTGACATTTGATGCATACCTGTGTGCTCTGAGGTTTTTACCTGTGTAGAAAATGTGGTCAAATCGATTCTTCAGAAGGGCTTGGGTCTCCTTTGCTCCACCGCGAACAACTGCATAACAGTCCTGTCAACAGTCATATCGTCACTGTCACGTTCACTGTGCCCATCTCTATTCATAACAATTGTGAAAAACTCATTTGTTACTTCTGGTTGATATTATCAGTTATTTCACCTTAGACAGATATTTGGGGATGAGCTCCGTTATCAGATTGTCTGTGGCGGCGCTGACTTCGGAGGGCTTGATGACCACACAGTTTCCTAATCAAAGACATCAACAACAGGCAGCATGTAAAGGCACGTGAAGTCACAGCAGTTACATTGTCATGTTTATAAAATCATTCAAGGTGGACTCTAGGACTCGTTGCCATATTTGCAAATTCTGTCAGCTCACTTTAAAACTTTCGCTCTTACTTTTAGAAATATTACCAAGTTGAGTTCCACTGTGTCTATGAACTGTTAGTCATCCCTTTATTTCATCACATTTGAATTATTGAACTTCAAAACATCCCTAAGACGTCTGCAGATTGTTCAGAGCGCTCCTGTGAGGTATTCACATGTCACACCACCACGCCCCTCCCAGTTACATTTTTCCTGAGCTAGCATTAAATCTCTGAAGTCACCTCACTCAAGGTACCTGTGATTACATTATTGTCATCAATTTTAATGTTGCCTTCAGGATTTAGTTTTGCTAAAAGCGTGTTTGTGGAACTACCTGCAGCAATGGCTCCAATCAAGGGTACGATGAGAAGTTGCATGGGGTAGTTCCATGGCCCGATGATCAACACAACTCCTAAAGGTTCCCTCCGTACAAAACATTCATCAAGCTTTGTGGCCTGAACAACAGAAAACATTACAAAATAAATTATGCAGCAAGAAAAGGCTTTTTAAAATGCAGGACATGCATAGATATATGAAGATATTTTGGATTGCTGTCAGTAAATGCTAGACATATACATTTTATAAATTTAACATTAAAAACAGTCTGAAAACTATATGTGCCAATGAGGCACTGGCCATAAATTTCATCTTGCAAAAAATAGAAAGCGCAGCACACGTCGTATTTCAGTCTGTGCTCTTTGTTTAACAGTGATTTCCTAATAAATACGTTCAGAGTGGAGTTGCTACATTCATTCTCATCATTCTGCAGTGGTGAATTTCCTTTGGCACTGCCTGAAATCTCTCTGGGAGGTGCCAGGAATTTCTCTCTGCAGGAAAAAGACTGCGAGGACACAAGAGGTTCAACTTGTTTGACATGAGGAGTATTACTTGGGCCATGAAAACAGTTGTGTAATGTTTCCTTTTTTGTTTTATTTGGCCACACACACACTATTAATAAGTCTTTTTTTTTTTTTAAACTTACCAAGTTTTTGCTCACATACTCCGGCTGCATCCAGCTTGTGAGGTTACTGAGGGCGCAATGGAGCTCGTTCATCACTATTTCAACCTCAGACAGGATGGCCTCAAATTTTGGCTATTGTGCAACGACAGCAACAACAGCAAGACAATTAGTGCTTATTTAAGAACAGCAGACAACAATGAATAATCTACTAATAAAACCATTGGAATTATCGATTAAATTCACTAAGCTATTCTCACTTTAATGTTTTTTAAAGGAGATGTTAACCACTTCCGTACAGTTGTATTACGTGCTTTAAAACAAATTGTCATGATTGCAAAATCATCATGACAGCAAGACAAACAAAAGCCTGAGGCTTTAGTTGCGTAATTATGTGTTGGAGAATTACAGTCATGTGTTCATGCTTTGTGTGGAACACGTGAGCACAGTCCTGTACCTTTGTGAGGTCTTTGTGCAGCGCATTTACAATCTGCTCCTCGTTGTCTTTGATCATGGACATTAGGTTGGTCAGCTGTGTCCTGCGAAACTTCTCCGGTATTGTAACACGCGATTCAAACGCTGTGCGCAGCCTTTCCAAAACCTGACTCTGGCTCTCCATTTTTTCAAGCTTCACAAAAAGAAAAGAAAGAAAAGGATTGTTTTCCCTAGAAGCTGTAACGGGCAAATACTTTGTGAAAGGTGGACATTAACTTCTCACATCTTCAACCCAGTGCACGTCGATTACTTATTCCTACTCAGAAATGTTAAACGTCATGAGAAACGTTACAAAAACTGTATTAGGTAAATGATGAATTATACCAAATGTATGTGTATAAAATCTGCATTTTAAAAAGCAAACCACCACTCTTTACATACTCCTGTCAGTCTTCTGACGGAATAGTTGGCAACGATATTTCAATTTGTGTAATTACTCTGACAGCGTTTGCATGGTCACTGTTGTGACAGCCTGTAATAACGGCAGATGACTCATTTGAAAAAGGGATTATGGAACCCGGTGAGTAACGTGAGCTGCACATTTCCTCATCCCAGTAAGTCTAGTTTGGAAAACGCTGAACAAGACCAGCGAGTCTGAGAAATTACTGCCACACACAGCTTTTAAATCCACTATTTATGGATTTCGCAACATTTCACAGGGGCAGTAGCGGTTTTTGATAGGGGCGACACAGGCGTTTGGGGGGGGGCATTGTGGTGGGGGGCGCCATCAGGGGCATGGGGGGAAAAAATAAATAAAAAAAATTGCTGGTACTCATGCTGCCCCGACATCATGCCAGCGCATATTGGGAACGGCATAGGCACCGATCAGTTTTCTATCGCCCATTTGCTGGGAGTAAGGGCGCCCTTCGTTTGCAAGGTGCGCCAGAAGGAGTGTTCGCCCAGGGCGCAAAAACAGCTAGGACCTCCACTGCACAGCGGATATATCAAATATTTGTGTGGCGAAGTGACCGGAACACTGATTTTGCGGAATGGGGAAGAAATACTAACTGTGACATTTCCAACGGACATTCGCACGCTACTGTAGACAATGGCACGCGGACGTTAACTGATAAGTGCAGTCAAACAGCACAGAAACGACGAATTATCAAACAAATTTTTTTCACATAATTATTACAGCCTGGCAGATTTCCCACGCGGGATTTGGATGCCCATAAGTGCATTCGTACGCTAGCTGTTTGTGGTTAGGGCGAAAAAAACTTTATCGTGGGAAGTAATTCCCGGGAGAGATGAACAAAAGGTTCCAGTGTAATCATTTTTTTCAGTGTGGGAGTCAGGATTTTCTCACGATGGTTTAAACTGCTCTAACATTCATTTGCGTGAAGTAGCTAGCATTTTGCAAACAGCAGAAATAAAGCGAAGATACTGCTGTGTTTAGCCTACCTGCTACTGGGCTTATCGTCTGTCCAACTGGCAGACCTGCGAGCAGACACCGTGCCGACAAAATGCTGAAGACTGTTGACGTTTCCGGGCTTCACTCCTTTTTTCGGAAGTACAGACACCGGGTTTCTTTGGGAGGGGAAACACTTTTGGTCGAGCTAGAAAAACTAGCCTTAAAACTTGTCAAGCGGCAAAGGTGGCTGTTTTTAGTATACATTTCCGTGTGCGAAGCATTGACTGTAAGCGAGTTAAGTGTCGCAGTTATTTGGCTCAGTGGTCCCCGCGGAGGGTTACATTTGACGTTTTTACGGGTACAGCAGTTATTCCCGTTTTAGCGTGAATAAGACAAACTCCCGTTTAAACCTTATTTACCAAAGCCAGCCTTACGTGCCCCAGGGACGGCAAAATAAAGCTGTCCACTTTTATACTTTCACACATTTTTCATTGTCTAAACCAGGGGTCTGCAACCTTTTACACACAAAGAGCCACTTGGACCCTGTTTCCACGCAAAAGAAAACACTGGGAGCCGCAAATACTTTTTGAAATCTAAAATGAAGATAACACTGTATATATTGTTTGTTTGTTTTTACCTTTATGCTTTGTGTGAACAACTAAAGTAAGTAAGCAAAGTTTATTTATTACACTTAAACTCCCGGAGAGCAGCCATTTTCACAGACAGCCAGTCACAAAGCGCTGTACACAAATATTAAAATAAACAATACAATCAATAGACATTATACACAATGTAAAGATCAAATGTACATAATGTAAAGAATATAAAATACGTAGATCAACAAAAGGCTTGTTTGAACAGAAAAGTTTTTAACTGCTTTTTAAAATAATCCACAGAGCAACTAAGGTGTGTTGCTTATGAAATCCATGAAGTGCTACAGAGAAAATTACATTTTATTTATGTAATTAACACATTTTGAACTCTTAAAGAAATATAACAAAAGGAAAGACACCCAGCTGAACTAAAATAATCCATGTAGCAAACAACAACTGTTGTGAGCCGCCACCCTTATATCGCCTTTGGGCTTTTGGAGCCTTGACCTGACTTTTAAAAAGTAATTGAAAAAAAAAGCACTATGCTGCTAAAAAAAAAATAGATATTTGCAAAATTCTGCCTAAGTATGTATTTTACCTGGTTAATGTGTGTGGCGGGGCGTGGTCTGCAGCGCCGCTGCAAGGGAGGCGGACGCACCTGAGCGGCACCCGCAATCACGCCTCGCCGCCTTAAAGTCTGTGCTCTCTCTGCTGTTGTGTTGTCGGGCTGTGAGCTGAAAAGCTACAGCCGGCTGTGTGCGTACAGCACCCGCGTGTGAAAAGTGGTCAATAAAGAGATGCTGGATAGCGTGTTCATGCAAACATTGTCAGGTCTGCCGTGATATGTTTACAATAAGACTTATGGTCCCGAACCTCTGCGCACAGCGTCTGCCAATCGGGGCTTTCATCTTTACGCAGGACTGTAAGCTGTCATCTGTGAGGCGTGAGCGGTGTTTGTTTTTAACATAGCTCACGGTGGAGAACAGTTACTGACATAATGTGGATCCGAAGATCCATAACTGGCCTACCTGGGTTTGAAAGTCTCGATAAATGCACGGCGTTTCGGCGAGTATACCGGGGAGTCGGACGCACCTGAGCGGCACCCGCAATCACGCCTCGCCGCCTTAAAGTCTGTGCTCTCTCTGCTGTTGCGTTGTCTAAAATACATATTTTCTGCCTAAATTCATAATTAGGCAGAATTGTGCAAATATCTATTTTTTTTTAGCAGCATAGTGCTTTTTAGCAGCGAGTGTGACGCTTATTTTGAGCGATGAAAAAATAAGATAATTTTTTTTATATTTCAAAATCACAATAATCTTCCAATTTAGAACTACAAGTTAAAAAAAAAGAACTAAACACAAATAAAATACACTTCAGCTAAATACTTTAATTTTTTTCCCCAAACCACCCGGAGCCGCAGTATAAGGACAAAAGAGCCGCAGGTCGCCGTCCCCTGGTCTAAACAAACAATGATGCTATTTTGACAATTAGCGTATTGTGACTAACATCTTAGACAATGGAAGTAAAAGCAGATTGAAAAAATCCTCTAAGTAACAAACTGACAACTGTGGATTTGTAGCCATCTTTCATAAGGAGGTGCAACTGAATTGATATATCAGCATAGATACAAAACTTTTATTTTCACAATATCAAAATTGACACACCTACAGAGAAGTGTAGATTAAAAGAAATTAAGAGGGCAATGGTTAATACATGACTCGCGTTGGCAGTCGTAACATCTCTGGTGTTAAGATGTGAGGGTGTGGAGCTCTCGGGAAGCTCTTGTTAAAAGGAGCACATGTGGTGGGAGACAGTTAAACAGCAAATAAAGAGAAGAGAGGGCATTTTGTTTAATCCTGGCAGCAACAATTATACAAAAATCAAAAACAGAGACAACATATGCATTGAAGGAATTTCTAAAATGATAAAACAAGCTTCCTACGGCTGCATACTTTAGAAAAATCATGAAAAAGGAGAAGAAGAAAAAAAGAAGAAGAAAAAAACAGCACTCCTTCCAAATACGTCTAAAACTAAATGACAGTGTCTGTCACAGGAGGGGGACAAAAAAACAAAACAACTACTACAATTGTAGTGAAAGTTGAGCCAGGAAAGGAGAAATTCATATCTACACAGAGTGAGGAAGATGAGAACAAATGGAAGGAGAGCAGAAAGAAATGGCCATCTTTATGTAGCTGAAGAGAAATGACAACAGTCATGGGCCCATTAACCACCTCGCCCTTACACCTTCCACAGTGACTGCTCTGTCAGGCTTGGGCAGTAGGGCAAAAAATCCAGCTCTTCAAGCTGAAGCTGTGCAGGAGCTTGGCAGGGTTTGGCAGGTTTTCTGTCTCACTGCTTTGAGTTCACACTGACAGAACGGTCCAGCGGCAGGATGGAGGGCAGCTGATGTGAAACGGTACTGGAAATTTGGATGTGTCATGGCTGTCTGCTCAAAGACTTCACAGGAAATAGTCGGCTACTGGTTTCTTGGAGGGTATGCCTCTGGTCTCTTGTGGTGCTGCTTCAAATATGATGAACTCCCGCTGTAGATGCTCATCCAACTCCAAGATGGCTGCTACATTACCACATCTGTTAGGAGAGGAACAAACATTGGTTATACACAAAAAGAGCCTTGTGTATATTTAATTAGCACAGTTTCAAACATTTCTTTGGTATGAAACAACACCGAGATGGCCTTAACCATGCCTGATCACTGGAAACTTTTCCTTTTATTAGTCATGTAATGTATGTAATCCCATCTATTCTGATTGTCAGTGGCCTTTCGTGCCGCCTGTCAAGAATAGAATGAGTTATATCAACTTTATATAGGCCATGTTTCATATTTTGATCGAGGAAAATTTCTTTCACTGTAATTATTTTTAGTGTTTTATCACCCAGCCATAGCACAACAGTATAAACTGCTCTATAGATAAAAGTTTCCTTACTACTATGCTTGTTAAAATGCATTCCCCAAAGTGAGTGTTGTTTTGTATCTATGCCAATTGGGTCAAAGCAGCAGACTGACATGTATGAAGCATTATGGGGAATCAAAATGTTACACAACGGCTTTTAATGCTTATTTGTCACAGGGGTAACCATCTCATATTTCAACAGTAGTAAGGTAAACAGAACAAATAGTCTGTTTATAAAGTAATCCACCATGAATGGAGGCTTGACTGGCCAATTCAGCTGACGTCAGTTGATGCTAGAACAAACCCGAACATGGTTCAACTTGTTGTACAGCAAGTCTCTACACAGCAGCAAATGCCTTTCCAAACATTTGCAATCTTAACATTGGCCTGCATAAGCTGTAGATTTCAATTTATAGTGCTGGAATTTCACTGGTAATTGCTGTTAATACTGAGACAACATGATCCGCCTTTGGAATATTTCAGGGACCAAATCAGTATTTACATGACGAGGACATCTTTCCCCATTCAAGATATCTGAGATTAATGTAGCTATGTACCTGTAGCAGTAGTTGGGTGCTGACCACACTGTGAGCACCGTCTCATTGAAGTGCCACTTGTAGCCTTCCATAACTAGCTGATGAGCTCGACAGATCATGTGGATGTCGTTGGCGGCGTTGAACTGAGCCACTACGTCACTCCCAAATAAGTAGCCGGCACCTCTAGGACTCACCCCCCAGCCTGTGGTGTCTGAAAGCAGAGAGAAACTGGTCACACAAACACATCCGTCATACAGTCCTTTAATTCTTCACTGCTGTTACTTGTTAACGTCAATTTCAATTTTTAGATGTCCAAGTGAACTGTCTGTACCTTCAGGGTCTGACCACAGGAGGTCACACATTGGTCCATCATGGGGCACTTCCTGTTTTCTATCAATGGTCCGGATCTGATCCAGTGTCTGGATGGAGGGAGACAATCCCCCGTGCACACAGAAGATCTACAGACACAGAATTATATCAAAACAAATGAAACAGCTACGTTACACAGGGAGTTTTAAAAGCAGTAACATGTTCAGAAGAAAACGCTACATATGAAGTAAGTGCTGGATGACGTATCTAACCTTGCCATCGATAATAGCAGAGAGAGACAGGTAGTCGAAAATCTCTGTGCAGTATCTCCAGACAGTGACTGAGCCATATTTGCGGAGGCACTCGTCATAGAAGCCGTAGACCTGGGTGATCTGTCGGGACTCGTGGTTTCCCCGGATCAAGGTAATCCGGTCCGGATAACGTACCTGGATCGTACAGCAGAGATAAAAGATGAAGAAAAGGGAGTTCTGACACCCCGTGGGAAAGTAAATGTAAAAACTGTGACTGGTGTAGCTCAGCAGTGGACAGACAAACTACCTTAAGAGCTAGCAACAGAAGAAAAGTCTCCACACTGTAGAAGCCTCTGTCCACAAAGTCACCCATGAACAGATAATTTGTCTCCGGGACATCTCCTCCCACCTGTCATGCAGAAAAATGAAAAAGAAGCCCTTTAAACAGATGCATACTGGTAATTAAATGTGCACAAGTCTCTACCTCCCCAACTCACAATAATGGGCTCCAAGACCTGCAATGCACCAAGACTGAACCATACCATTAGGGCTGCACGATTTTGCATATAATGAGAATCACGATTTTTTGGCTTAGAATTGAGATCACGATTCTCTCACGATTTTCTTTTCCAGTATAAATATTTATTGCACTTATTAACTGCACATCAACTTCGTAACAGTTGAGACTGAACATAAAAACAATAAATAAACATAAAAACAACAAATGTCTCACGTTTTGTTGTTGCCGCAAAATGTTGTACTGCTTGAAATTCCGTCTCCACCGTTGCTCGACGCTGCGTGTATAGAGCAGGTAGTGCAACAATAGAAAAATAGTTGCGGGACGGCACTGTGTAGCGTTTGTCTAGGGTGTTGATCATTTTCCTAAATCCCTCGTTTTGCACAGTGTTGATGGGAGCCATATCTTTGGTCAGGTGATAAGTGATAGCCTCCGTAATTTCTTTGTGCCTGCGGGAGTTCGACGGGTATAGGGAAGCGCTGTATAAGGTTCCCGTTATTGATGTTTGGGTGGTTGACCGGGACGGATTTTCTCCTGTCACTTTCTCGTCATCCCTGACGTGCTCTCCGTTGTTTTTTCCCTGCTAATTTTAGCATCACACGGCACAGCTTCTGTATCACGTGGTATAAGGCTCCGCCCTTGTCATTTGTTGAGCAGGAAGAGTGAGCGCTTGTTTTCATGCAGATTACGTCCCGGATCAAAATGCGGTACAATCGTCGTCTTTTTTTTTTTTTTTTTAAATCGTTGTCATTTGGAAATGAGATCGCACATAAGTATGAATCGAGATCGCGATTTTCTAACGATTAATCGTGCAGCCCTAAGTACCATATCTCAAAATATTACCTCACATGAGATTAGTAAAAGAAACTAGCATCAATTCACTATTTGGACGACATTTTGGTCCAATACTGACTCAAAGCTACACTGGGTATCGATACATTGGAGCAGCAGTGTACTGCTTGCACCCACTCTCGCTCTTCATTACGTCTGCTGTAAATCTTATTGAGAAGCCTCTACTGGAGCATTTACAGCAACATAACATGATGCCAAGTTTCTCGTCAGCTTCACTGTGTGAGTGTGTGAGGAGGTGTACTCACAGGAAGAGCCATAACAGGAGAAACTAGGATGTCCATAAGTAACAGCAGTATGAAATGAGACTCATGCATATTTTAGCTGAAAAATAAAAATGTACCCCCCCAATTTTACTAATACCTTTTCACTGGATTTATATTCTTAAATATATTTATTGATGAATTTAGGAGCGCAGTGTGAAAGCTGAGCGACACGTTGCCTTAAACATAAAGAACGATACCCAGATTTTCATCAGAATTAAGAATACGAATTATTCATTTAATACAGTTATGGAATCAGTACTCAGTATGGTCACACACTCAAACCCCAGGCAAGAGTATCAAATTTAAAAAGCTGCATTTATTTCTAATAACTAACCAAGTTTAGTAGTGCTGTGCAGGATTGTAACTCAGCAACAGAATAACACCTGTGTGCAGTATCATACTTAAACGACGAAATATAACCCAATCAGAAGCAAAAGAGATTTTAAAAACAAATAGAAAAAGAAAAAAAACTTACTCTAAAAAGTTCTTTCAAGTCATAGAACTGACCGTGTATATCTCCACAAACCTGTAAGAAATAACAGGAGAAACATTATTACCACATTTATCTGACATCCAGGCAAATTCGGAGACAACAGTGAGTAGATGTTACTTACCGTAACAGGAGAATCTACTCTCTGGACATTGCTTTCTTCAACCAAAATCTCTCTAAAAGGAATAAAAATACATATGTGTATTTATTAATAAACAAATAACGCACAACAGCACAAGACTAACAGCAGACATAAAACAATCCTTGAGTTACAGACAAGCACCCCCTAGTGGCCACATCTACCGTTTCCTGTTGTGACTCCAGAAACACAGCTGACAGGTGATGTAACTGCAACTTGAAAAATATCCAAACTAAACAGACTTTTTGAAGCCCAGTGACAGATCGGGGGTGGGGGGGGGCCACCTACACTACACTCCTCCACCTACACTCCTCCACCAACCACAATAATCATTTCAAATTAAGATCAGATTGCTTAAATTGTTTCTCCATCATCCTTATCTGAGTTACTTGATTATTTAATAATATCCAGGAGCAGCTGATTGGCTAACAAAGGTCAGTCAGGATAAGGCTCCATTTAATGAGTCTGTATGGCAGTTTGCATCCAGTAGACTTATCCCAGTTCTTCCTAGTTCACAATAGGCCTGTGATTGGTCTTGCGCCTTATTCTATAATGATCGTAGCATACCTTTGCGTATATATATTTTTTCCTGGACTCGTCCAAGATCTTCAATCTTGATTAAATTTAATCTATAAACAACCTAGTCCTAAAATTCAATTCAATTCTATTTGTATAGCAACAACACTGCCCTCAAAGTGCTTTATACAGTAAAGATCCTGTCAGATCCCCAGAGAAAACAATCAAATGGGCCTCTATGAGCAAGCACTTAGCGACAGTGGGATTCGTAACATTTATATGGTGATTGATTAAAATATTAACTTTAAATAAAAAATATTATTTTGTTTACTGTGCATTTGTGTATAGAAACTGCATGATCAAGGTCTACTCAACATACCCAGTAGCATGTTTATATGCACAGTGCATAGACATTTAACAGTCACCAGAGGATTTAAGTTTTAACAACTCGTAAACTATTCCTGTTATATATCGTTAATAGATAAATATATTTTCTTTAAAATTCTCAGCTGTAACTGGTCAGCATCTGATGCAGGTCTGGCTAGTCTAGTTAATCAATTTTTGGCATCTGTAAAACTGTGCCAAATCAAACATGCGGAGCTCACCCATGTAGTGACCCCTTTGCCGAAACAGCCATTGGTCTGCATATAGTTAAGACAAAGAGGCTGCCCCATTACTTTTGAACATTACATATAAATATATTTAAGCTCTACTAAATATCACCCCTCTTAAAGTACGTTTAATTCGCAATCCTTCCTGTTCTTTAAGTATTCAGAAATAAGACAACAGCTAAACAGTTTTCTGCCTTGAATCGAGAGTGTATAATTGATTAAATAAAAGTACTGTTGGTCCAAGTACACTGATGCTTACCTAGCTTTGGCACACAGTGCTTTGACTTCATTTTCCTTGATGAGCTCACAGCGTCTGAGCTGCTCTATCTGTCGGTCCAGGTCACTGATGTCCCCCATTGTCACACACATAGGGAGAGCTGCTCACACACCAGGCACACACTCCTCTTCTCGCACACTGGGCTCGCTTAAAATATGTGGCTCCGAGAGCGAACAGCCCAAATAAAAACTTCCTCGAAACCAGCCGGGGGGCTTCAGCTCTTAAACGTCAGGGTATTGCTACGACGATGCTCGGAGTGACGAACTGCAGACAAAAAACATAAATTAGGTTATTCAACCGAAGTAATTCCGAGCTAAACATCGCAATAACAACCTGGTAGGCGGATAATCCAGTTTAGGTAATGTCTGCTGTATGATAAATAAGACCCGGTCGTACATAGAAATCCCTAACTAAACGCCAATTTAACACACCACTGTGAAAGTCATACGACTAGTTTGTTCACACCTAACATAAAAGTAGTCTCCCACAGAAAACTGATGTTATTCGTTAGGGAATGTAAGGCCTCGGGGCGTAGCAGTAAGCTAATATTAGCACGCTAGCTTACATCACAGCTAACGACGTCAGCGAACAACTGATTCTTTGATAACTTAGCCAACCATTTTGTTTGGGAATTTGAACAGATGCTTCACAAAAATGTCTGACAGTCGATACCAACAAACTACAGATAATCTATGTGCCAGAAAAAAACAAAATAAAAGCAATGTGTTAAGCGTAGTTGAAATGTTGCATGTTAGCGGGCTAATCGATGCCGACCTGGGCTAACTTACTTGGTTTTCGGCGTCAACGCTGGTTACTGCTAATGTCGCCAGTAAACTAGCTAATGCGAATAACACAATTTAAAAACGACTCAACTCGAATAACCAAAACAGCGAGCAAACGAAATGTTAAAGAACCAACGTTAATATATTTCAGTCCATGGAGCGTCGGCTCACTCACTGGCCCCTCTTCTTCCCCCGGTCTCGTCTTTGCCGGTTTACGCCTGCCGTGCTCGTGAACACTTGCAGGTCGGCTGTAACTTCCGGTATAGGAAGCGCACTACTCAGTCTACTCAACCCGACATTTACTGTAGTGGTAATTTACAGATCGCTTACTAGTCCATCCCAAATACTGAATATCATGAAAAGTTTACTTTTGTTTTCTTTTTTTAAGTGATTAATTAAAAAAAATAAACTCGATATTTATTGTATGAAAAGTATTTCAAAACCCTTTCTTACAATTTTGATCAAGTTTAAGGACACTAAATAAAGTCAGAAATATAGTATTTAATTTTGAGCCTCCCTATGGCCCCACAATAAGCAAGCAGGTTCAGGGTGGACTGAGCCGAGGTCAAAGGCAGGCCTCGGCTGTCCGATCCCCTCTTGCTGCTGTCTGAAACTGGAAAAGAGATATTCTAATATTTTGATTCAGGATTTCTGATTACCACCAGCTATAAACCATTATCATTAAAATCAAGAAAATATTGAACTACTGAAATATTTGACTTGTAATGAAGGTAGAATATACCCTTTTAATTTAATTATAAAGAATTAAAGTTTTTGTGTCATGTTCTGTGCTCCACTATGAAATGTAATGTAGTTCAAGTAGAAGTTTAACAAGAAAAATGTGTGCTATGGAACAGTAACCTATATTTATACATTTTAATTCATTTTGGCTTAGAAACATCACCTATAGCTTTGGGATACCACAGTATAAATTCTCCACTCTACAAGCATTTGTCTGATATATTAGGCACAAAGTGGACAGCAGAGAAAATACTGCAGATTGCTGACTATAGCAACCTTACTTTTTTCCCTAAATAATTTTGAATTAAATATTAGGTTAATAAATGGTTCACGAAACACCCCAGTTAAAGACCAACCTATGTTATCTTACATCACTATAAGTAATAAAGCACGACACATTCCAGTTTATGACACATACACTTTATATCAAAGAAAAAAATCGGTACAATTAGAAATGTCACGGCTCGCTGCGCAAGAAAGGACAACCACATGTTTGTAGCTAACTGGCAAGCTAACAAAGTCAAAGTGAACCTCATCTCTGATTTCCTGTAAAATTTGATTTGAAGCAAAGATTAAAAAACAATATTATGTTGTAACAAGGTTCTTCCAGTTAAGCATTAGCATTAGCTTTATGTGGTCATTAGAATGTCAGTAGGACCGTTGGTCTGCGTTTGAGTGTTCAGGAGAAAACAGGACACATGAATCAAGTATTTAAGGACATAAACTGCATTCCAAGAAAAGAAAACAAATTCAACAGCCCACAATGTTACAAAAAAATAACAAAAGTGCTTCCAAGAATTTTAGTAAAATACATGTCAGCATGACGGCATGAGCAACCTCTATTTTCTTTATTTTACAACAAAAATATTAAAATCAACTTTGTTTCACATCTCAGCCATTCCCAGGTGTTCTGTGCTCCACCTGCAGTGACTAACTGTGCAACAGTTTAACAAGCAGTCTTTCATTAGAATCAGAAAAGCCACAGCTAAGCAAAATTATGTCAAGTTGCACACGATAAACATCACAAAAACAAACCTGTGTGTGACATTGTTTTTGTACAAATCTGAAACAAGTGGCATTTTAAAGCTCCGAATGATCTCCTGGTATTAAAAACTATAATAGAAGGCATTTTTGCTCGCTTTGTTACATACACTCACATTTTTGCTCGCTTTGTTACATACACTCACATTTTTGCTCGCTTTGTTACATACACTCACATTTTTGCTCGCTTTGTTACATACACTCACATTTTTGCTCGCTTTGTTACATACACTCACATTTTTGCTCGCTTTGTTACATACACTCACATTTTTGCTCGCTTTGTTACATACACTCACATTTTTGCTCGCTTTGTTACATACACTCACATTTTTGCTCGCTTTGTTACATACACTCATCATGGACATGAATGTCATGGTAATTTTGGACTTTAATCATTTCTTTGAATTGTTTTCTTCCCAGAGAGGAATGATTTTACAGCATCTGCAAAAACAAAAGACTTTGAAAATGAGAATTGGATGCACATGGTTGAAGTTATTTTGGAAAAATTTCCACCTCAATCAGGCATGATTCTGACGTTATATTTGACCATTATTCTTCTCTTGGTTTCCTGGTACCAACCTGGATTTTAAGCATAGTCCACAATCTTTCAGTAAGATTGAAGTCACCTATAGTCATGTCAAAAAAATAATGAAAATCCCAAATTTCAGATTCATTTCTACGATGAGTGTTTGCAAACGTTTGACTACAACTGAAATACGAAAGTAATCTCTGCTATTTATTAACATGAATTAAACTCTTAACTATAGAACTACTTATTATAGAAGGCACTTAGTGAGAGCCGTCAGGCTTCAGCATTATATTTACTCACAGTTTCTTCAAATAATAATAATAATAATAATGTATACTTTATTGATCACCGTGGGAAAATTCCTCTTATTTAACCCATTCACTCAGTGAAGCAGTGGGCAGCCACCAATCTAGTGCCCAGGGAGCAGTACCTTGGTCAGGGTAGCTGTTCAGTAGATTCAAACCCCCAACCTTCCGATCATGGGGCAACCACTCTACCTACTTTGCCCCCTGAAAGCAATAGTTTTATAATTTCACCTCCCAAAAATTTTATTGCAGCATTCAATGACTGAGCTCTCTGACTTTTAAAATAGTTTGAAAATAGTAATGGCACATCCTAGCTGAGTAGTCATTCATAGAACTGTTTCTGAACCCAGAGTTCAGTTTGAGGAGTTACTGTTAAAATGAAGGTCAGTAAAATAACAGTTTAGATTTTAAGGTAAATCTTAGCGTTGAAGGTTGGTGTGGAGGGATTTCCTACACAATACTGGCTGCCTGGTCACAGCTCAGAGATACTTTATACTTAAAGATGACTCTTTAGTTACCACAATTAAAACACAGTAAACTTGCTGAAATGACATCTCCTCTTCTGTGACTTTAAAATGTATTGCATTTATATTTCTTTTATTCGTTATGTCAAATTTAAATATATCCCGATCTTGTTTCACATTGAAAGCTTTTGTTCTGTGAACCACTGGAAGGTTTTTCATGAAGGAAAACCACAAAGAAACTGGTCATCAAAACAAGACAATATTTTCTGGCCTATCGGTTTCACTGATCTGTTTCAGGTTTACCTTCTGTGATCGTAGGTAGGATGTTATTGATATTATTTGATCTCTGGCTGAAGGTATAAAACACTTTTGTGGACTCTGGACTTTCTATATAGTTCACTTGCTGTTATCTATAAATATGCAGCAAGTACAGGATGTGGAGTCAAAGACTTTATATTGACATTTTTATGTAATGTCTGCTTTTTGTCTCTAACCCAGTTCGGATTTAAAAATCGAACGCACCCACGTTTTGCTTACTCATCGTGCTGGTCAGTGTGTGGGCTTGGTTATAATGAACAGAAGTAAGTGTGGACAGGAAGAGATATGAGTCCAGCCACAGTTATGCCCAGGCTGTCTCCAATGCTGGCAGCAGCCATGGAGAACTCCCTGTGTCTGTCTTCAGTCTGTAGGAGAAAAGAGAAGACACTCTGAGGTAGATGCATGCTTACTGTGGAGTAAAAACAGCTCAACAGTGCACAGCTGCTTCTGTACTGATCTCCTAAAATAATCATTGTGACATTTGCAGAGTGTGTATGTATCCGTGAATGGATAAAAAATGAAATGCAGCTTTGCACAGAGGTCGAAGAACAGAAAATATGGAATTATCCAGATTCCTAAAGTCAGAACTGTCTAGAATACTCCAGAGTCTAAACTATATGAATGGTTCTCTGAAGCTGTCCTTTACCTCCTTGCTGATGAAGTGGAAGGTGTTGACATATGCTGCTCCACCCAGAAGACCCTCATAGAGGATAAAAGCGAACACCAACCAAACAGTGGGCAGGAACAGGTAACGTACAGCTAACAGAAGAAACACAGCGTTCAGCGTCTGTGGAGAGGAGAGAGAAGCAGCTCTGAGAAACACAGCAGTGTCTGTAAAGTATACATTCACACAGTTAACAACCCCATATGCATGTACTATAGTTATCTGCATCACAAAGCAACACAAATTATTCAGTCACCTGAAAACAAACCATAAACTATGCAATGTTTGATGGAAAAAAATCATTTATTCAGCTCTCCTATTATTTCAGCCTGAGTGTCACTTTGTCCTAAACAGTTGTTGAGACACTCTGCAAAGGCACACCTCTCCTGGCTTCTTTCTTTTTCTACAGTCAGATTTTCTCCAAATTTCTTGCCTTAGAGGTGCAGGCTTCTCTCTTATACAACATCATCAGCACTTTCTCTGTTTCACCTGGAAATGGGGCAGGGTCACTGTGTAAATAGTATGAACGTTTCCTTGTAAATATTACTAGATGAGGATCATTGTGTGGTTGTAATTTTTTGAGGACAGCTGCTGCACCGTTTTGTTATTGGCTGCTCCTAACACTTCTATGCACTAATGCAGCTTCACCTACTGCCTAATGGACCAATTATGGATTTGTGCACAACATTTTATATGCACTACGTACACACAGATACACACAAGCAGCAAAAAATACTGATGTTCAAATCTATTGTTTGTAATGAGTAGCCAGTCAGAATAAAGTTGCAGGTTAAGCTCCTCCACCAAAAAAAGGGAGCCTAGCTTAACCCAGACATCCTTCTGGTGCTGATTTGTATTTTATTCTCATTTCTCACCTGCAGAACACTGAGAATCCACACTTTCCTGATCTTCACACAGTGCAGAGAGGATCGAGAGAGCAGTACACCAAGCTGGTACAGAGTCTGATACCTGAGGATGCAAACAAGAGACAAGTAGAGCTGCACACCCCAAACAATCTGCATGAAGTCATTCATACTGAATACTCTCTGTAATGGATCACTGACCAGCGATACTGAGCTGCATGGGTCAGGAAAATATTGTGGAAGAACAGGAGTTCCATCTTACAGAGAGGGAAAAATATTCCTGGTTCAATATTCTCACAACATCACACAAAATCAGAGCCAAGTTTCACTAACAGCATGCAGTGAGCTGAGTGTGCTGCTAGAGGGCATCAGAGGACTCACCAAACCCTGGTTGATGAAATACTCGGTTAAGTAGACCACTCCCAGTTGAAGCACAAACTTCCACAAGCCCTGCTCACAGAAATCAAGTTCAGTAGCAGTTTGGCTGAACAGTTTCAGATCAAACAAGTAAACGGTGTACTTACTCTGATAACAAACAGTCTCTCTCTGAAACTGAGAGGCCCAGTGGGTTGGTCTTCTGCTACATTCAAGAGGAAGAGAACATTATTTCCCAATAAGCAGCAGAACTTTAAAACAACAATTCATTCACATAAACTGTGAAGTTCCACAGCAGGAGATGAAGTCAGCAGCCTCATGTTCTCTGTCTTTGTTAAGTGTTAACAAACAGTTTGCAAAAAGAAAGTTGTGATAACGTGGTCAGAAATTACAAATCATTGAAACATTTCATTTCTGGGTACTAAATGATACGTATACACATAGCAGCCTCTCACTGAGGCCACTGTAAGGTAACAACTATACAAACTGTTGAGCAGCAATAGGAAGCAACTGCCAATACACTGAGTATCAGTATCAGTCACATGAGTAAGAACAGAGAGGAACATGTGATCCGTTTAGCTTAGCACGCAAATTTGTGTTCCAAAAGGTGGTCAGAAACTGAGACAGCTACTGCAGAGCCTGTGAGCGCTCGTATTTTACTCCGGCTACAATTTGGCCTTCTGGCACAGACGTACCGGAGCATTCAGGCCCTCACTGCCAGACTGCGAAAGTTTCTTCCCCCAAACGTCAGACTACTGACCACTCACTTATCTGCACAATCTCATATACACAAACATGCACCACCAACTGTCATTGATGCACATTTCTGTTGCACTGTTGTGTCTGTATCGTTCTGGTCTGTCTGGTGCTGCGATGTTTTTTGCAGTTTTTGCACACTTGCACTGTATGTATGTATGTTGAAGCGCCTTGAGGTGACTTTTGTTGTGATTATATAAAGCGCCAAATCAATTCAATTCAAATAAATAAAATTTAATTGAATTGAATTAAAATACGTAGTCCTGTGCTGATTGTCTTTTATATGTCATGTCATATATGTCATTGACCATGATCGTGGAGGAACGCTGTCTCGCTTCACTGTGTACTGTAGCACTGAACATGGTTGAAATAACAATAAAGCCATTTGACTTGACCTCAGGTTTTCCTGTAATCGTTTCAAATTAAAAGCACTTTGGTGCTTCACTGGATAAAACACTTAATTTCTTAACTGGGCTCTTATTCTGAAATATTATGAAAACAAACGTTTTTTATTTACTTGTTAAGAACCACCATACAGTAAGTGAGGAAGAGAGGAACATGCATAGTTTAAATAGAGGCAGTGAGAGTCAGGATGAAGCTGTGCACAGACGACTTTCTGCAAGTGAAACTAATGTTTGATGCCACTGCAGATGTGTCATTTGATATATGCAAAAACTCAGGTAACCTGCATGCACATGTGCGCTACACCTCTGCCAATGCAGTCACACTGTGGCTGTATCCAAATTCAGGGTCTGCAGCCTTAAAGGC